GCCTCTGCCCACTACGTTCCCCTGCCAGAAACTCTCCACCCAGCTCTCAGGGCCACCCACCATGCTTCCTTCTGATCCCCACTGAGATGTCACCTTCTTAGAGAGCCTTTCCTTCCTTGTCGCCCCTCTTTATTTACTCTCTACCTAACCATGTCTGTGCTCCTCATCACTCTTGTCACAATCAGCAATCTTACAGGGGTTGGTTCCCTTCTTGTCATCTGTCCCCCTCACCAGGCTGTAAGCTCCCTAACGTGGGAACTTGTTGAACAAGTGTGAACTTAGCAAGTCCTGTGAGCTTCCCAGTGGCTCAACAAACATGTGTTGAGCGAATGAACCAAAGAGTATGAGAGAGGAGACACTAAAATTAAGTGTAGAAATTAGGGAATATGTACATTTTACAGGAGTTGGAGGAGAAAGGAAAGCTGCGGAGAACAAGAGGAGGAGGCAGAGGGGTAGGGAACTTTCAGAGGGTGCCTAGTTGTCAGAATGAAAGAGATAGTCACAGACATACACCTTCAGGGCACATACAAGACAAGCCATAGATAAACGTCTACATCTAGCCTCATGGATAGATGTTTGGAAGAGAACCAAAGTAGCTGCTGTGAAATAACACTGCAGAAAGAGTTTCAGGAGGCAGCATTCATGATCTAGGGCCAGATCTATGAAGACAGGAGGCTGAACACTGTGACAAGGATGAGGAGTGGGACGATCATTCACGGACATGAAGGGGTTTTCATTTTCCTAACACAATCCAACTTGCGAGTTACAGTTCACCAAAGTTCTCTCATCGTCACGTCATTCTATTTTCAGAAAAAAGTCTCAAAGACCCACAGACGGCTCTCACCACGATGAGGAAGGAGAGGGCGCACGGCACTTGCTTTCAGGAAGGTGGGTGGTGTCTCATCACAAATTTCATCGGCATTAACAGACATCTGCTAATTTTGGACAGATTCTTCAAGGCCAACCACAACATGAGCAAACAGCTCTCAGGAACAACAGTAACTTAAAAACAGATCTCCCTAGAACTTCTCACCTTCCTTCCTGAATCAAGTATTTGATTCCAATAGTATTCGAATCTGGGAAATTTTAAAATACTACTCAGAAATCAAGGCCTTTAACTTAGACTGTTTAAAATGGTAAAAATTCATTCTCCCTCTGGTTTAATCAGACCATCCATCTAAGTCTGGAACTTGTAGATCAGCACTGGGCATAGTCTGTCATCAGCTCCTACATCTGACCCACTCTCTGATGAAATGTAGGATCTTTTATTTGTCCAAAGAGCAAACACAGACATGGAGCCTCTGAATGGACAGACTGGAGAAGACCCCGTTGGAGAGAACCGTGGCGGCTGCTCAGGTGATGAAGTCTGGTGAAGAATGAGCTGTGCCGGCGCCTGCGTCCCTCAAAGCTGGTGGTCAGAAACAGCAAGTCCTTCACAGGCCCGCATCCCCGGGGGCCTGCAAAACGAAGCTCACAAGCAGGAACAAAGGAGGCCAGAATCTTCCTGGGGCTGCTTTTATTTTACTAATACAGCGCGTTATACATGCATTGTATGCATGTACCAGATTCATCCTCCTTCCAGTCATCCTCAGAAACATCTCAGAGCACAGGCAGGCCAGCTTGACCGCTCCCTCTGAGGCCAGGGACGTCAGGGTCATCAGGTGGGAAATGGCAGAGCCCGGACGCCTGCTCTGGATCCCAGCACTCCTCTCTGCACAGCATGGCATCAGCACACGCAGAGACGGCTTCCGAACCCTAGCTCTAACACCTACCAGCTCCATTATCCTGGGGAAGGTCCTTATTTTCTCTGTACTTCAGCTTTTTTTTTAATCTGTGAACTGGGAATAATAATAACATGTACCTTGATGGGGTTGTTGAGAGGATTAGGTGGGATAACGTGTGTGAAGCACTTTGAACAGTGCCTGGCGCAGTAAGCTATTACTGTTATACTTACAGTATATTATTATTTCAAAGATCTAATACTCTAGAAGAGAATGTAGACTTGAACGTAGCTTAGTCTAACAGGACAATCAGAAACATAACAAAAACACACTCAAAATGTTCTCCAAAGCAGGTACTTTTTTAAAGAAAAACACAACACCCTAAATTCAGCCTTGGGAACAAAGGAATAAACCAAGCAGAGCTGATCACTTTTCCAGGTCCTACAAATACTATCCCCTTTGGCCACTAAATGAATAATGACGACTTCAAAACATCAGTCAGATGCAACACATAGTATCTTTAGGAAAATGGTCTTGATGCTAAATTCAGCAAGTCGGCCAGCTCAGCAGTGAGAAGTCCAGAACCGAGTGCATGATCCATAAAAGGTCTCTACTTCTGAAGTTCTGACTCCACGGTCAAGATACTTGATGGAGTTTCCAGAAACATAAAAATAAGACAATACAGAAAAACAGCATTTTCAAATGGTTGTTTCCTGCCTCCCCCTTTTTTTTCCTGATTTTTCTCAATTATCTTTTAAAAAACTGGCCTTGGAAGAGAATTAACCTCCACCTCAAAGAAAGAGGAGTTACTTTGAATGAGCTGGGTCACTGAGAGAGGAAGCCTTTTAAACAAAGTCCTTGGGGAAGTGAATTATTTATTGATTCAGTTTGTGGCCTAACGTTGAAGTGTGTGATGGGGAGAGTGGGAGCCTTTTGCCATCGCATATTGTAAAGGTATTAAAGAAAGAAGGATAGGAAATTCATGTCTTAGAAATACGGGGGCAAATGAGACTAAGCGTTGTGTATTAATTATGGTGGAAGAGGGAGGGTGAGAAGGATGTAAATAAGAAAAAAATCCAGGCATTTGAAATTTACTAATATTTAAAAATATTGGCTAATGTTAACTAAATCTGTTACTTTTTTCTAATGCGACTCACTTGTATAAGAAGCTCCTTTTACACATTTGGCTTTCCCATTAGTTCATTCATTCATTCATCAAAAATGTATAGATTTAAAAAATTTTTTTTCTTCTTCTTCTCCCCAAAGCCCCCTAGTACATTGTTGTATATTCTGGCTGTGAGTGCCTCTGGTCATGGCATGTGGGACTCCTCCTCAGCATGGCTTGATGAGCAGTGCCATGTCTGTGCCCAGGATTCAAACCAGCAAACCCTGGGTCACTGAAGCAGAGCATGCAAACTTAACCACTCAGCCATGGGGCTTGCCCCTAGATTATTTATTACACACCAGCTGTGACTAAGACAGACATGTTCCTGACAAATAGAAATGGCAAGCAATAGGATATATTGGAATATTCGAGGAAGCCATTTGGTGTAAATCTAATTTGGCCTGACTTTGTTTTTCCAAAAAGGCCTGACATGGCCATCGAACATGCATTGTATATCTGCTTTAAACATTTCCTATGGCAAGAACAAATGCCCATAAGATAAAGGCGCAACTTCTCCCCACGTTGGCATTTCCTTAAGGATAAGCATCTCTCCCTAGGCTAGGAACTGATTGCTGTGCTCACCTTTGACCACCCAGCTCACCGCTGACCACCCAGCTTGAGACAACAGACCTGCCACCCTGCTGTGTTCACCGAGACAGCAGATCTACCTGCTGTTTCCATCAATCGCTGTGCCGACAGAGCAGTCTCACGACTATTGTAAAAGGGACATTTCAATCCTGTGTGAAACATCCTCTTTGGGGGTATATAACCACTCTGTTCACCCCACTTCTTTGGTGCCCTTTCTTCCTTCAGGAAGAAGGGCCCCGGGCCATGGTCCTCACATTTTAGCTCAGAATAAACTCACCCAAATTTTCATTTATACATTGGTTATGGATTATTTTCATCGACACTCCCAACCCTGGAGAAGCTGACGTTCTAGCAATGGGAATGGCCAGAGAGAAAAGGGAGAGGGGAAAAGAGGCGTCTGAAACCCAGAGTGAAGCTCCATCCTCGAATGACAGAAACTCATCTAAGCTTCCCCAACAACCCCCTCGGTGACAGTCTGGGCATATCCAGCTGATTTCAGTAGTAAAAAATAATAGCATTTGTTAAAAGTATAAGGCCATCAAAAATAAATATAGATAAAAATCTAGGGAAGAAGTTAGAGAATATTATCCTCTTGAAACAAAAACATGTAATTTGGTAGTGACAGAGCATTCTTTGCACCTCCAAGGGTGGACCAAGTGGTGCATCAACAATTTAAATTACGCCCCAGCTGGACTCTGACTTTGGGATTTATAAAGGAAGTATTTTCAAAAGAGGTCATTGCCTAAACACTTCCTTTAATCAACAGTCAGAGGATTTACTCAACCGATGGTGCCAAACTCTTCTCGTGAAGATTGTGATGGCGCATCACGCCCTCCATCCTCTCACTCAAAAGGGTAAGGATCAAGTGGGTTTTTAAATGCAGATTTGGGGTTCATATAGTTCTTTTTCATCTTCTTATTTTTTCACAGTGAGTTTGGGAGAGCCCAGTTTTAAGTCCTCTGTGGATTTCATGTTTTTCTGTTGAAGCTTTGAGGGAAGAGTAAGAAAATAGTGAATTTTTACAGAAATGTAAATAGGAAAATTTAATTTTTAAATTTTGAAAATTAAAAGTGACGTGGACAAGAAGCTTTGGTGCTATGAAATATGTATTCAATTCTCCTGTCACAAGCCGAACCACGTGGCAGTTTTTGGTTTTGATTATAGCTTTACTTGCTATTTTAATAAACATGAACCAATATTCAAACTTTTAATATCCTGCTGCTTAACCATTTCCAAAGAGCCATCCAGCTTTTTTAAACAGCCTTTGTTTTAAAATTTTCATTTGTTTGGCTTAGTCTCACCTTCGAAAGTTGTAGCCTAATGGTAAACTCTTTTATAAGCTGATTTCCAGAATCAAAAGCCGTTCTTTTTTTCCCTCCCAACTAAGTGTTTCCTCATGTGCCAAAATTGCTGGTGCTGACAGCTTTTCTGCTTTGTTTTATCTGGTTCCCACAAGTAAGTGCGGCAAACACACACAGAACGCGTCCAGCGCTAACTGGCCGTCCCACGGCCACAGTGGTACTCACAGCTCCTCCAGGAAGCGGAGGCCGCGCAGGGGGTGCGGGGGCAGCTGGCTGATGTTGTTCATGCTGAGGTCTCTGTAGAGGAAAACAGACAGCCTGTGAGGAGCAGCGTCCCCACCACGAGGAAACCCAGCTGTTCAGTTCACACTTTTCAAGCAATGCAGCCAAATGAACTCATTCTTCTGCTTGACAAATGAATCGCTATTTTACATCTTAGACGCATTCCTTTCCTCTCGCCCCACCTCCCAACATCATGGGTCTCTATCAGATTAGAGACCCCAGGAAAGCTCATATGAATCAAAATGATTTGACCGTCCGGGCATGGTTGTAATTCTTCGTGTTTAAAGTTACATGAGTAGGACAGCAGAGGAAACACATAACTCAACTGTGTGTCCTGCTTTGAGTCTCGTGACAAAGAGAAATGTCTTCACCGTGCGACTCTGGGAGTCCTGCTTCTCTGGGACTATAAGCATCTTGTAAAAACAAATGTTTTGATTCAAAGAAACTTGAAAAAACAAAACAAAACAAAACAAGACAAAAAGCCTATTCCTTCCTTCAATGTGTTCCTCTTGCAGGTTCTCGGATTGCATTAAATATGTGAAATGAACCAGAAAACAAGGATGTAATGTGACCCAGCGCTGAGCACCCTTCCTGCTGGGCCTGCACAGTAGTTCCTGGCACAGGAAACAACAAGCCACTTTGGGCAGAACTCAATCAATTTTTGTTTTACGCAAAACTCCGCGTAATTAGATTTTATTCTGTTTTTACTTTTCTGTTTCTTTACCGTTTCCCAAGTGTGCCATCCGCACCTCAGAGGCCAAAGGCTGAGTGCTGGAGTCCCATCCGACCAGCTAAGAGTTGTAGAGACAGTCACTGGAGGTAGACTTAAAAATGGCCCACTCTCAAACCCGAACATCAGCGCCAGTGCCGTTCCAACCTCAGACCAGGTCTGCACACTTAAAGTTCATCGCGAGGGAACACAATGAGCTTCTGTTTATTTATCATTTTTTATTGATTGACATAACATTGCATTAGTTTTAGGTGCATAAGATAACGATTCGCTATTTGTATACACTGCAGAATGATCGCCACAAGTCTAGTTAACATATGTCACTATACACCTACAAATTTTTTTTCTCATGATAAGAACTTTTAAGATTTACTCTCTTAGCAAATTCCAAATATACAACACAGTATTGTTAGCTAGTCACCACGCTAAGCCCCAGGACTTATTTATCTTGTAACCAGAAGTTTGTATCTTTTGACCTCTTCACCTGTGAGCTTTTTAAAATCTGGATTACTCCTGTTATCGAAGTGGCCACACCCACTGCACTCAGCCAGCCAACTTCAGCATTGATAGCTTGGTGCCTTTACCAAATATTAACTTTTAATCAGCGATGCTAAGAATTGAGGGACCATTCACTCACTGCCTTTAAAAAGTCACTAGCATGTACAAGGAAGATAAAATATTTTGCTAAGGTTTCAGAGTACAGTAAAAAAAACCCCATAATTATTAATTTTAGTATGTTAGTAAACAGCCACGTAGCTGAGTAGAATGTTATGTTCTCAAGCTAAAACTAAACAACACCTGCCACTCTCCTCTCCTCCCATATTTTCTGTGTGATTGGGACAAACACTGATCCCGTCCATGTGAGAAAGCTCTAAACAGAACATGGAAATTCGCATACGAAGGAGGTTCATAAGCTCACATTATTTTAGCATCATTCTCTTATTTCAGGCGCCTGGAAATGTTCCCACGGGAGCACTCCTCTGCCAACGGGATGGGCACACATTGTCAGGGCGCCAGGGCATGGATCCCCCCTCTCCCCATCCCCCGGCTGCACTGTCTTGGAAAAGTCACGTCCCTGTGCTAGCTTCCTCGTATCTGAACGGGGCATCTCTGCATTAACAGTTTGATACCCTGTGATCAGCTGTTTCCAATCAGAAGGGAGTGACAATTTTCTTCTTAAAAGGGGAGTACCTCCCGTTCCCTCGGGAACCAACGACTTCTCAGAGTCACTGACCCTGTGGTTCCTCTCAGAAAAGGAGCTGGTCCTGAGAAGCCAGCTGCTTACGCCCTCTCTAACGAGGCCGCCACCCTCTTAGGAGCGGCCAGCAGTGCACGCGAGCCTACGGCAGAAAGCAACTCGGAATCCGTCTACAGTAGAAGGAAGGAGGCCTTCAAAATACAAACTCAAAGTGGGTAAGGCAGAAGTGAACTTGTCTGCACGCACCTCCCCCCTCTGTGTGCACCACTGCAACGATGTTCAAGTGAAACAGGTCCAAACTATCTGTGGCGACAGGACAATTTTTAAAAATGTCTAATTTGCTCTAGACTTACATTTTTATAAAATAAAAATTAATTACTAGAAAAGTGAAATAAAAACAAAGATACACAAAACAGAAGTTCAATAATTTGTCATGTGATTCAACAGAGATTATTAAATTACTATAAATGTTTCTAAACCTTTACTCTCAAATTCATATCTGTCGTGGGTCGGTAAAAAGCAGCCTAGCCAGCCAGGCCATGGGCCTCTCTGGTCACAATGCTGCTCTTCACCCAGCGGGCGAGGCCGGGATAGTTCAGCCCGCTGGGTGGAGAGCTAATGATCATGGAGGAGCCCCAGCTGTGGAGGGCAGCGCCCAATGGCCAGACGCTGCTGACCCACCAGGACCCCGTCCAGGACAGGAGGCTCTGAGGGGCGGCCTCCGTTGCATGGAGTCCGTGGGAGCCCTGGTGGAACGAACTGTCTCCTTGCCTCCGTGGTTTGGCTCTTCCTTTTTTCCAAGAACATTTCTACTCTGCACAAAAATATCCTCACTTTTACTCTTAAGTGATTTTTAAACTTTTCCTTTTTTTTCTATACCATTTGGTCTTTCTGATGCCTGGAACAGATACAGCCTTAGTAGCAGCGGGTGAAGGGACTTTAAAATAATTTTAAGCCTGTGCATTATTTACTTTTTTAAACTATTATTTTAAAAATGTCCCTATTTTGCATTTTGCTCATGATTCAGTTTCCTAACATCAATGAAGCCATGTAATGGATTTCTTTAATTTTTCCATCTTTGGCAAGAAGTTGGAATTAATTTTGAAGAACTGGTCACTAGGTAAAAGACTTCATAAGCAATGGAGGATTTATTGTGACAAGACGGTGAAATGCGTTAAACTACCCTGTGTCATCTCTAGCCACCTCTTGTCTGTGCTGTCAGTGAAAGGTCCAGGAACCTGGGATATTCTGTGGGAGCAGGTGAATCGATTGGACTCACCCACGGAGCTTTAGAAAGTATCATGCCTGGGTCCCATCCCCAGAGTCCTGAGTCGATTAGCCCACTGTGGGCGCTGGGACTCTGAAAGCTTCTTGATGACCTGAATGTCAGCCAAGGCTGAGAACCACCGCAGGACAAACTTCTAAATTTCTAGACGGTGCTCTGAGCTCGCCACTCACTCAAAAGTGAGGAGTTTTACGATTACTGAAGTGCTGTCCTCTGCACAGAGTGTTCCATTCAGGCAGACAGCACGTATCTCCCGAAAATGTTCTTGTTGCTTGCAGCTCTATTATTTTTCTTCATTTGACAAATATTGATTGCACACTAACTGTGGGCAGGTCTAGGAACACAGAGGAGAACGAATCTGAGTCATCTTTGACTCCTCCCTTCCTCGCACCACTGCGTGTAAGATGCAGTGTTGGCTCTGCCACAGACCCTGCCTCTGGGTCCCTCTCCTCGCGGCTCCCTCGCTCAGGTCCTTCCACACTGACAGCTGTTCTGCTCTCTGTGACTACTGCGTCTCCTCCTTCTGGGGCGTCGTCCTCACCAAGGCCAGAGAGGGCGCCCTGAAAAGTCCACCCAGTCTCGTCATGTGCTCAGAGCCACCGCCAGCCAGGAAGAGAGGCTCCCCCTCTGGGGGGTAGTGGTAAGTTACAGAAGAGGTCCTCTTCCACCCACTGAGGCAGCCAGAGCAGGTAGGGTGAATGGCTGGGCCAGCAGGTCAGCCCCTGTGGCAGGCACAGCAGAAGGCCCTCTGGGGTGGCCCTGCCCCCTGCCCGAGAACGTCTGCAGCTCCGGGTCTCAGAGGAACCTCACTGCTCAGGCCCTTCAGGATCTGGCCTAACACGCACAGCCACCTTGGTCTCTCACCACCTTCCTCTTCGCAGCACCTGCTCCAGTGGCACTGACAGTCCTGTCCCTCTTGGCTGTCTCCACACCCATGATTCTCTCTCCCCGGAATGCATTTTCCTCTCTGCTTCCAAACCGCCACTCTTGTGCTCCCCCACCCAGGATCTAGCTGAACAGACCGCTGTGTTTCTGACACAGCCTCTCATCGTTCCAGTCAGGCTGCTCCCCCTTCAGCCTCTGGTCCTTGGATGCGCCCAGTGTCAGAGCCTCGTCTTAGCCTGAGCTCTCACATCCATCAGCTGGGCCACGATCTCACCAACACCCTCACCTCGCTCGCCCTGTCTGTTGTTTCACTCCACTGGCAAAACCCCAGCTCTGGAAACACTGTAATCATCTTCTCTGTTACTGTCCCAGAGTCCTGGGAGCTCCGAGGAAGAGAAAACTCACAGACGTGCAGGTCAGTCTACAAACCCACGGCCTCTGCGGCTCTAACAGGGCTGCACAATCCTGTTGTTGCTGCTCAGTTCGCTCCTGCAGGGACGGCTGAACCCTTGACTACCCACCTCACACCTCTTAACTGACGACCACGCCTCGTGGGGCGCTTCCCTCCTACTCATGGAAATGACTGGACTCGAGGCCCGAGTGTGACACAGGCCACATGCTTGTTCTCTTGCCCCTGCTCCCTCTACCCAGACTTCTCTCCTCGCTCAACCCTGCTCACGGGCGCCAAACTCCAGGATGCTACAGCACTTCACTCCACAAATCATTCCATTTCCTGTAATTGGCCTTTTCCTCTTCCCTTCAAGGTACAGGCGTGTCAAGTCTTTCCACGACTAGAACAAAAGGAAAGCAGGATCTTTCGACCTGTGACTTCCCTTACCTGCTACCCAGTCTCTCTCATTCCTTCGGCCTGTTTCTAGTTTACAACTGCAGTCTCTTCTTCCCGCTTCCTTTCCAAC